TGTAACGTGTCTGAGGATTAGACCAACAACATGAAGGCTTCTCTTAACCTACAAAATCAATTATTTATAAAAAAGCATCCTCCCTCATAATATATTATATATTTATGTTCTTAATTTACCATAAAATCCAGTTAATAATCCAGCGATTATACCTTCACCTAACATGTTGTCTGTTCTGGACAAAATCACACCACATCACAGTTGGAAGGACAAAAGGATAAAGACCGAACCTTAACAATGACACTCGCTAAATTCAAACTGAACCCCAGAGCAATATACAGTGTAAATTACTTTTTAGTAGCTTTTCTAGGCTAGCTAACTTAGAAAAAGGGTCATATGTAAGATTTGAAAGCATTTGAAGTAATTATTTTGATGGATTATTCACCATGTTTATCAGCAGACCCAGTGAACAGGTTGTAGTGTAGCCTTTGTTCCTCTGGCTGCCTGTGGACCTGATTTCTGTGTGTTTCTATGTAGGGATGGGGGTCCAAAGGTCTGTGACCTTATTATGCTCCAGAGAGCCTTCTCTCTCCACAAACACAGAGGTCCACAACACAGAGTCCACCCCAACACAGAGTCACAACCAAAGCTACATTACTAAAGCCATTGTGAAGACATTATTGTATGATTTTAGCTGTTACTGATTGCCCAGCTTAGACTATATAGCAAATAATCTGTCAGCTTAGCTTCATCAGACTTCCTGCGGCTTGTCTGGCTGACTTTATATTATTCATGTGTTGAGTTAAGCTGCTGGTACTTAGTTTCTTGAACACTACGTAACGGCTAAACAAAGAATTACTTGTGTAAATACTATAGTGTTTACTAGTTAGTTCGCCTTAATTTTTACGTTCCCCCACTAAATGTGAATTTTTCCATGATCACTACCTTATAGTATTTCTGACAACCGGTGTTGATTTAGCTAAGAATAAATTATGTAGCGGTACAAAGCTAATGATAGCTTTCTACTAGCCAAGCAATGATGCGAGCGTAGAGCATCCAGCTAGCTAACTGTAATTTGGCTGTACGTGTGTGGGTCCTGGTGTCGTCGCTGTACGGTGTGGGCGTCTGGTGTTGGTTGGCTTCGTGGTGTTGGCTGCATGCTGATTGTAAACGGCAAGCTAGTTAGTAGCATGGAGCTAACGGTCCAAATAAAAATATAGGAACATTTCGATAGTAACGTTATCTAAATATGATGTCAGTTTATTTTACACGTTGTCAGTGTTTGTCAGTCACTGTTGGCCGACGCCCAGGATGAGTCGCTCTATAAACAGTAGCTATTAATGCACCAGTACAGACAGTCAGACAGTATTTTAAATTCCTCTGATAAAAATCATAACCAGAGGCTCAATTTGTCAACTGTCACAGAGAGAACATTTCATCCTCCACTCAGACCACAACTTGCAAAAATGCCAACCGCACCTTCTCCCCCCCGAGATAAAAGGTTTTATGTTAAAACTTCTTGGAGAATATTCTCAGAGAGTTTGTGAATCCGGCGCCCGGTGGAGCAGCGAAGGTCCTTCCAGGCTATACGACGTTGAACGGATGTCTGAAGGACACACGTCATTCTCTGCCTCCTATTTTGCATTTGCCTTGCAGGAATAAATCATAATTCCTGGTGGAAAATGAAACCTCTCTGCAGTGTGGCTGTCTGAAGGCCTTCAGCTCTACAACGTGGAGGTTTCTGACTGCTTTGAGTCCACCTCTGAAGACCATCGGCAGCATCTGGACTCCAGAGGTTGTAGGAATCTGTCTCACGTAGACAAGGGCTCTGCCAGGGTTCCCCACGCTCTCTTGTACAGATAACTACATCAAAAGCCGCTTTGAAATATTAACATCACAGAGCTCGGTAGCAGCGTTTATCAAGAGGATAAACTCCTGGGGAGGTCTGGCACATTTTGATGCTTGATCGCTGTTGGAGTTCTGGAGATTTGATCCACTACGGAAACAGAGACGCTGTCAAATCTGAGCTCTGACTGCTTATAAACGAGAGTGAGCGTCATTATATTAGATCTTTGCTTCCCAACCTTTTCTTCTTAACGGACCCGTCATCTGTCACTGAGTAAACTGACTGTATTCAACAAACACAGAACAGCTGATAAACTGTACAGTGAACTCTAACTGCAGGAAGTTTCTGTAAAACGAGAGATTTCGATGAATTCTGAAGAGGTTTTTCTAATTTAACTGTTTCTCAGGTTTAATTTTGATTTGGTGTGATGTTTTTTTGTCTTGTTGGTCACGTTTTTGTGAATTTAATTAAAAAAAACATCCTCTTGTCTTTGTAAGTTAACGACTAAGACCGAGGCTCAGTTTCAAGCGTGAGTTTTACACTCAAACAAACTCGTTTACAACCTCCTCGACACATTCTGCCCACAGCGAATGTGAATTCTGTTCGAGTCCGATAGTGTTTCCTTATTGGCTTTGTACTCGGTTTTCCACAGTTGCATTGTGCTCCCGGCGCTCAGCCTACATCTCTGCACGGTAATCCCACTCCCCCGCTGCGGCTGCAGCTCGTAGTACTCAAATAATGCTGCATTCAGGTTGTTTAGGGGATAATCCACCGAGGGTACAATACACTTCACTACAAATTGAAACATGTACAATGTTCTGCTTCATTAGTCAGTCATTGTGTGTGTTTGTGTCTCCAGCTACAAACAGGTTTAGTCCTCCATCAGCAAAGAAATGTGACCATTGAAACGTCCTCTGCATGCATTGTTTAGCTACTGAAACGTATTACATTCACATGTTTTCTCAATTAACTTTATTATATCATAATGCGGGATAATGTTTCATTCACCTCCTGCACGCCACCTCCAGCCTGTTCAGTTGGGTCCAGGCGGAGGTCCCAAGCTCCGAACACTGGGTCTCCAGCCCTGAGACAGTCTCCATGCAGGGCTCCTGTACCCTGTAACCACCTGGTAGTCGGCTCTCCTCCTGTGCATGAGGACGCTAGAAGATGAAAACTTATTAGATAGTAAGTCGTGAAATTAGAAAAACAGGGCCACATTTTTTAATTATGAAAACTTGTCTCAGAATTATGAGCAGCACCTTAACCTTAATGAATGTAACCCTCTTTCACCGAGAGGACAGAATATCAGTGTTTCTAATTAATTCCCTTGAATCAGAGAATTCACTTTTTTGAGACAATTAAATAAGAAAAATAGGGAAGAATTTGATATGAGAAATTATGTTAATGGCTCAAACAAACAAAAAATGTCTTTCTTATCTTACATTCATAACTTAAGTAACATAAGTATCGTATTTATCTGAATCAAAACCATGATGTTCTGATGCGTAAATCTAACCTGATTGTGATGTCTCTGATTGTCACTTGACTACTGTTACCACGACTACGAAGGTCACCTGACTCCTTTTGTTCAAAACTCCTTAAATACGCCATCTCTTAAGGCGTTAAATGACGCCTGTGAGTCCTGTGTAGAAATATATACGCTTAAACGTGGTGTTTAACATTTAATGATTCTTATTTTCAGGTCGTTGCACACCAATAAAAACCTGTGCACATTATATTCCATTAGGACCATTTTCACTTTCTTTTTCAGATTAATAATGAACTCATATTCTCTGTTTAACCAGTGAAACCTGTAACTGTTGCCATGGTTACCTGCATTGTAACGTACCTTTGTGTGTTCATGTAAAATAATAATTGAACCTTTGATTGCTGTGTGATCGGTGCTGTTTTCTGATGCCTAGGTTTGATTTAGTCCTCTGTCTTTAGTTTTTCTGTCCTTAGTTCTCAGTGGATTTCAGATCAATTTAATCCATAAATCAGTTTCTTTAAAGGACGTCAGAAAACATTACTGAATGCATCAGTGCAACAAATCAGCCAAATCAACGGATTAAGAAATTTGGAGGAAACAGATTTACTAATCAGGAGCTACAGTGTGTAATTAGTTCATGTATCCTTTCATTTGTTTTTCACATTAAAGTTTTGATGAAACACTTTTTTTTTAGTTTTAGTCTCATTTTCTTAGTTTGATTTAATCACCAGAATGTTTTTTCTGAAATCTGCCTCATGTTCCAACACGTACAGTTTCACATAAACACCAAAACACAGACAAAACAAACAAATCCTCCGAACTTCATCCATCGCAGCAGACATTATGAGTAAGTGGCTGCGGTGCAATCAGAGCTCACCGCACACAGGAACACTGAGTTAGACAGACAGTCTGTTCGGTCTCTGCTGTGGGACTCGAAATCTGTCGGTATGAAAAGCTGATCAAATAAAATATGAGAGAGGTATGATGTAATATTTCCAGCCAGAGACAAACATCCTGTGAGTGCAGAAAACTTCACTAAAGAGTTTCATCTGTGAGCAGACAGTCATACTGACTCCTTACTGCAGAACTCTGGATTATTAATATTATTGGCTCTGATTGGTAAATATGATTCAAATGTAATACAGAGTAAAAAGGGTGAAACTGGGCCGATAGCGGACTCAACAACGCCAAAAGATTCAACTCATCCTTTTAGTTTAAACTCAATTTCTTAATTTTTTAACTTCTCCGAGATTTCCACCAACACAGGTCCATAAGTACGATCAGTGATTGTTGATCTTTAACAAGTTAAGATTCATTTGAAATCAGTCAATAATCCAAATAAACCAAATAAATATTTAAGATACCAAGTATATAAAACAACCATAAATAATTTAAACTAAAAATAGCTACAGGCAGCGATTCTGACACAGACGGTTCAACTTTGTTAAAAAACGTTTCCTGTGAGTTTTGTGATGATATGATGAAGTAATTGTTGACTTATGCCTATTGAGCCACGCCCCGTCTGAAGCTTACTGGTCAATATCTTGAAACCTAAATAAGACATCAATAAGCTTTATGCAAGTATTGATCAGCTACGTCTGATGATGATCCACAGAAGATCTGGGAGCGATCGGACCGACCGTTCAGGAGGAAACGGCAAAAATGGCCGACTTCAGTGGTCCAAGGAGGTTTCTATGGAGCACATCGAGCCGGACTCATGGGTCCAATTTCAGGTCAATTAAACTTACAGATTGAGGGGGAGTGGCCTTTCCAAAATGGCGTTTTTGAGCCTGAATTACAGCTCCACCATCTGGCCAACCCTAACCCTAACCCTAACAGAAGACCTGCTAACTAATTGTTGATGGTTATTATTATAGCGTCATCATTATTTCCTCGAGCAGCCTCTCGGTACTGAATCACTAAGACAATACCAACAAACAACATCATGAGAGGAACACGTCAGTGAACCACAGCACTAACAGTGGATCAAACTGTGCAGATGCAGCAGCGATCAAACAGAAAACTACAGGAGGGCCAGACTCTTTCCCCTCATCGTAAATTCTTCTTTCAAGATGTCCGCTGCAGTTCGTGTGTGAACGTGAATATTTCATCGCAGCTTCTGAAGATGTCACTTAACAAACAAACATGGAAACTCCAGCTGAGCTCTAAACCCCAATTCACACTCCTGTCAGGGTGGAAATCTGCGCTCCACTAGGTCTGGAGACTACAGCAAAGTTTTGATCCTGTTGAGTGAAATTAAAATCAGTTTGAAGGAAACAAGCCTCTGGCCTTGTGTGCTGCTACAGCTCATCAGTGTGAGGTTCAGGTCCGGGAGGGATTCTGAGCTGCTGTTGTAATCCACTTTTTTTGATGAACCCATTTACCCCCAACCTGCATGATCTACTGCTGGTTGAGTTAATGATTTACTACATTTCCCAGGATGCCTTTCTGTAACTTTAAACAGCCAAATGGAACTCAAGAGCTGATGTTAGACCTGTGCTAATAATAAAACAATATCAGGATTTAAAGCTCTATGTTCTATATGTAGTGGATTCAATCAATAATCTATAATCAGTGACTGATTGAAATGAACTTCCTCCTTTCCTGTACTAAGATATGCTATATGCTAGGCTAATCTGTTTAAAAGACAACCACATTTTGAAGATGGTTAAAAGATAAAAGAGACAAATATATAAAGACACACAAAATCAAATTATGTAAATTAGCTAGTTAGCTAGCATTTTGCTAACATTAGCTTTCAGCTGTAATTACCTACCTAACAATTGATATAGGTTAATTACTAATATAACTATTGTACATTTAAAAGGTAAATATAGTATTTTGGGCATCCAGAGTTTTAGAAGCTCTTAAAGTCTCAGATGGACCTAAAATCATAAAAGACATTAACTCTGTAGCTCTTTAATAAAAACTATGATACATACAAACACAGAGCTTTAAACCTCACAATTGAGGGCCAGAGCAAACAGTTTGTTAAAGAAAGGTTGTTATAGTTTATTTATTAGGGAACAGATATCGTCTGGGACCGTCTCGAATTAGGGTCAGTTGTCCCGAATCCAGAATACTGTCCTATTAGTCCTGAAAAAGAAATGACCAGATATTGTGAAAGAGCTGAAACGAGAGCTGTCGGTTCGCCCTGGGACTGATTTGGCACTGAACGTACTGTGTACGTTGGAGCGCTGCCAAATTGTCATGAATAATTTACAACGTAACATAAGCACAACAACCTGCTGTCACCACAATAAACAGGACTCTCAATTCATCTCAACGAGAATCTTTCCATTCAATTATCAATCAGTCTCCATGAATTAGTGGATTGATTCCTCTTCTTACTCTCTGAATGTTGTCAGTTTTGATTTTGTAGAAGAAGAGATATTATTGATCAGTTTCCACTTCTCTATTGCATTGATTAGGCTGTGGTTTTAAACCAGATGACGGAGGGTGAAGCCGTCACTGTGGGAGGAATCTAGAAATGTGCCTGTAAGCTGCAGTTTAACGACAATCTCAGCT